CTCCGCCGGCACCAACACCACCTTCTTTAGACATGGATGAGGCCGGCCAGGATATGGAAGAGAATATCTGGGATGACACTAAAGCTGAGGGCGAAGATAACGCTGCTGCTGCTGCCCTAGCCGCTGAGGTTGCTGCTGAAGAGGAGGAGCTCGCTATGCTAACAGCCAAGAATCTGAAAAAGAAACTTAAAACGAGGGACCAGAAGCGTTTCGATGAGCTGACAGCCAACGCCAACCGCCGAGCTGAAGAGGCTGCTGCAAAGGATGCTGAGGCACAAACACAGCAAGAGGCCGAAGCCAATGCTGTTGCCGACGCTTTAGAGGCCGAGGAGTGGCCAGCCGCTGAAGTGCTTGAAGCCGAACAGAATGCTGTATCTGAAGAGCTCGAGGCCGAAATTGCGGCTGAAGAGGCAGAGCGCGAAACACTTGAAGCCAAGGCTAAGAAGAAGAAGAAGGGGTTAAATAAAGAGGAAAAGCAGCGACTTGATGAGCTTATCGAAAAGGCCAACGCTCGCGCCGCAGATGCTGCAGTCGTAAATGTCGATGACGGAGCTGCACAAATTGCTGTCGCGGCGGAAGAACAAACTGCGCGTGAAGCTGAAGAGCAAGCCAGCCGAGAGGCCGAAGAAGCAGCTGCATGCGAAGCTGACGAACAGGCCGCGCTTGAAGCTAGCAAGCAAGCTGCACGAGATGCAGAACATGCGGCCGACGACGCAGAGCTTGAGACACTTGAAGCTAAGGCTAAGAAGAAGAAGAAGGGGCTAAATAAAGAGGAAAAGCAGCGACTTGATGAGCTTACTGAAAAGATTAAGGCTCGTACTGTGGTGACAGCCGCTACTACAGAAGTCGATAATGGTGATGCACAAGCTGCGATCAAGGCCGCCGAACAGGCTGCAGTTGCACGCGAAGCCGAAGAAGCAGAAGCAGAACAGGCTGCACGTGAAGCTAAGGCACAGGTTGCGCGTGAGGCGGAAGAACAGACTGCTCGTGAGGCTGAAGAGCAAGCCCTCCGCGACAATGAAGTCGCAGCTGAGATTGCCGAGCTTGAAGCGCTTGAAGTCAAGGCTAAGAAGAAGAAGAAGGGGCTAACTAAAACGGAACGGCAGCGACTTGATGAGCTTACCGAGAAAATCAGCGCCCGTACCGCAGATGCCGCTGGTATAGACGTGCACGACGAGAATGAACAAGCTCTAATCGAAGCTGAAAAGCAGGCTGCACGTGAAGCTGAAGAGCAAGCAGCACGTGAGGAGGAAGAGCAAGCTGCACGTGAGGCGGAAGAGCAAGCTGCACGCGAGGCTGAAGCTGAAGAGCAGGCCGAGCGCGAGCGACAAGAAGCTGAAGAACAGGTCGAGCGCGGGCGACAAGAAGCCGCAGCAGCCGCAGCAGCCACAGCTTCCAAGAAGAAGTCGAAGAAGAGCTCTAAATCCGATGACAAGAAACCAAAATCCAGCAGCAGGGACAACAAGAAGGATGACGACGATTTTGATATTGACAATGTAGACCTGACAACAGAGCAAGCTGATGAGATCCTTTCAGGCCTAGCGCCGCCCAAGAAGCCTAAGGTCGATGATGACCCATTCTCATTCTGGGGTGCCAAGCCCATCCCCAAGAGCTCACTTCCCGAAGCAGTAAGCACCTCTCAACCCCAGCACATAGCAGCAATCGAGATTAAATATGCTGACTCATCTAAGGTTCTGGAAGGTGCCACCTTTGATGAGGACACCCCAGCTCCTTCTAGGGCCATCAACGACGATTGGATGCCGAAGAAGAAAGTCAAGGGAAGCAAGCTCGCTGAGAAACTCAAGAAGTTTGAGCCAACGGCACAAGATGATTTCGGGGGTGACCTAATCGACGTGCTGCCTGCAGCACCACCGCCACCACCGCCACCTGTGTTTAGCCCCCCGCCGTTCCAGGAAGCCCAAAAGTCGAGGGCTTTTAGGCGAGACAAAGACATCCTTCCTGGCAGTTTCCCCATGGATGACGAGTATAACGAGTATAACGAGGACGAAGACGAAATCATTGAGATTATCGATATGGCACCGCCGGCTGAAAAGAGACCAAAGAAGAGCAAGAAGAGCAGATCCAAGGACGAGGCGCTTCCACCTGTGCCACCTGCCGTGCCTCCTCCACCCCCGGCCGTTCCCGACGCACCCCCTACACCCCCTCCAGAAGTCAGGTCTTCAAAGAAAGAACGGGCCAAGATCAACCGCGATGGCGGCGCATCTTGGGGCAAATGGTCCGCTTCTGCTACACCACGTAAAGAGGACAAGAAGGCATCGAAGTCAAGATCTGAAGATAAGAAGCCGAAGAAAGACAGAGACGAGAAGGTATCTTCCAAAAGCTCAGGCTCGGACAAAGCAGAACGACAGGATAAGAAGGCAGGGCCAACTTCTAAATCCCGCATGAACAGCCTGTTCCAGAGTACACCCCCTCTGTCGCGCTCCATATCAACGCGCGACAAACGCCAGAGCGCTAGCAAGTCGAGCTCCAGGCGCCATTCCCTTGATATGAGCGGTGGACTCGTGTCGCCCCCACCCGAAGAGATACCTGAGATGGCTTCGAAGGCGGCACGACTTCTCGGGGTAGATAAGAGCCGCAGCCGAAGAAGCTCAAGAACTCGCCGTGCTACAGAGGACGAGGACATTGTCATAGTTGGAACCAGAGATTTTGCATCGAGCCCTGATAAGTCGGCCCGGAAACGATCAAAGGTAAAAGTGCATCATCGCTTCAGCACCAACCTAGCTAACTCGAAACAGGCTAAACCAGACGATGATATTGTCATGGTCGATGCTGGCGGTCCTGCTGACGTGACGCCTCTCAAGCGATCCAATTCAAGTGCAAAGAAAGGTATTTCTGGTCTTTTTGGAGGCTTCATGTCCTCGACTCCTCGTTCCGATCTTCGCCCCGAGCCCCGCCGTCGAAGCACATACCATACTACCGACGACGAGAGAAGGCCAGATAAGCGGGCACGGCGTACACGGGAACCGAGCAACATCGAGCCGGAAACCGATGCAGATCGTGAAGCCCGCCGCGCCGCTCGCCGAGCCAAAAGAGAGCAGGAGAAGGCTGAAGAAACGCGACGTATGAAAGACGAAGGACGACGTGAAAGACGTAGGCGTCATGAAGACGATGATGATGCGCGCAGACAAGAAGAGCGTGAAGCTCGACGTGCGGAACGTCGAGCTGCCCGTGAACAGGAAGCGCAGCGTCTCGCAGCCGAAGAGACGGAAGTAAGGGAGGCTGAGAGAGCAGAACGCCGTCGCCTTCGCAAGCTCGAGAGAGAAGCCGCTGCAGCTGCCATCGCCGGGGAGGCAGAAGCAGAAGCCCATCGAGCCGCTCGGGCTGAGCGACGACGTTCGCGACAGGCAGATGCCTCGGAAGATGGTTCGGAGCGCCGACGAAGGCGCGAAGCTAGGCGAGCAGATAAGACGAGCCGTCGCCGATCTATGCCCGTAGATGACTTTGTATACCCCCGAGAAAGATCATCGAAGCGCACAGACGACGAGCGCAGAAAAAAGACAAAGAAGCCAACTTGGCCACATTCAGGTACGAGCTCGTGGGTGAAGGAACATTCAGACGCAGGCCCGCCTCCTGACGATGGGCCTTTGACAGACGCTCCCCCGGTCACAGATGATGAGGCAGTCCGACGGGCCGCTCGGCGGGCCCGTCGGCGGGAAAAATATGGCGACGTGGACGCAGAGTTCGAAGACGACCAGAGACGAAGGCGCGCGCGCCGTGAAGAACGAGAGCGTCGAGAACGCCGAGTGGGTGGCTCGGATGGCAGCGGAGAGAAGGCGCAGCGAGAATCTGTTTTCATGGACACGACACCTCGAAGCAGCTGGTGGAGGAAGCTTACAGGATCATAAGCGCTGCTTCAACAAAATTTCCGATGGAACTCGGTTTGCCTGCTCAATCTTTAGCGAAAAGAACTCTTATTATTCAGCGTGTATTATGCTTTTTGGGTCGGGATTGCATATATATACCTTTTGGGAGTTTTAGGGGGATTAATAACGTTGGGCTGCCTGGTCAGCTGTGCGTTGGGTAAGATATTATTGCCTGTTGGATACTTGCCTACCTGTATGGGAACCGGCATGAGTGCCCAGAGTAAGGGTGATCGTCCACTGTTCACTATATGGAACTGTCTGTTTGTGCGTGTGTGTGTGTGTGTGTTTGCGATGTATCGGGCATGTATGTGTGTCGCTATGACGTGGCATGGTTGAAGAAAGGATAGCTACGGTGGGATGTGTTAGTACTTCCTGTAGAAGCAAGCGGCAATGTTTTGTTGTGTTTTGCGCGGTGCTGTCATGTAGCGAGAATATACCCCTTGAAGTCGCGCAAACTGGTTAGATGAATATACCTGTGTTGGAAGTGTCTTTATTTGGTCAACTTGCACGTGCAAGCTCTACGATCTATAATCCAACTTCATGTCAAATCTTTGCCAAATGGCGACTACGCCATTTCTTGTTTCATTAGGAACGTCGAGCAAGCGATCTGTGTACCTGAACATAATGGTTATCGACACCTCTACGCAGACAACCGTAGCCACTGGCCACATATCATAACATCTGACTATGACGGGAAAGGGGAGGCCTCAAGGCCCACCAGCCTTTTTGATAATCATTTTTTGCTAAGGGTCTGCGGCCGAACAACTTTCATATGTCCCTGTAGGGTGGTATGCCTGGGGTTCATACAAACAACGGTCACTGCCATTAAGCAATTTAGTCCAGCAGTAAATGTGTTATCGACGACAGCCTAACTTGGGCACTTTGACAATTTGCTTTAAACACCCCTTGGGTCCCATACATTCAACCTCAGACATTTCCAAACACATATGAGTACGTACCTGTCTGTCCACCTTAGATATCTATGCCTCTCTCCCGGTTGAAAGTAGTCAAAGCTCTACATCAGGGAAGAGCAGGCGGGGAAGCAGGCACTTCTATCGAAATAAATCGATACGAAACCAACTCAGTCAGTAAGACAAACAAAGGAGCTGCAAGATGGCGTTGTTGGAGTAGTAGTCAACTCATTTCCCTCACATACAATTCACAATTTAGGAAGGAAAGGACCTGGGTGCAAATCCCGGACAGCGCAGAGTTTTTGACTTTTTTTCTGTTCTCAATTCTTATCTTTGTTTATTTCAATCAAGCCTTTAGATTATAGTTTTCAATCGCTGGTACTTACTATGTCGTTTTGCTCAGGGTGAGATGGGCCTTCTTCTAGTTCCTCTTTATACCATTCCGTTTGTCCTCAAACAATAGCACGGCTCAAGGCATACCTCAATGCTCACCTTCACGCTTACATACCTCTTGCTATACGCAATGTGCGTATTGACCCAACTTCGTGTCTACCTCCGTCACAATTATCCTCTTTCTTGAGAAGATGAGAAAGAAATAGGGTTGGGGGTCTTGATGGCCTCCTCGCACCCATTAACCCACACGCTTCGCCTCAGCTATCACGGCTAGCTCAGCCTCACCCATCATAACAATTAGATACCCAAAAAAACATGTACTTAAAATCGCGAGACAATGGGAAATTATCGTAATTCGTTGTTCGGTCTTGCAAAGAAGGAAGCGCTTTGTCTCCTGAGTGGTTGAGGACAATGCCTTTACGAGGAAGCCTGGGATCAAAGCCCGAAGAGCAGGTTAAAGTCTTTTCCCGTGCTACTTCGGAAAACACATTCGTAGGACCTTTTTTTGGAACTTCGAATGCTCTCTACCGGTAATCAAGAATACAGCCACACGTAACTAGAAGCAAATCAGGTAAACATTTAGAATTCAACCACCGGCACAAACGATCTTTCAATCTCAGTCTAAGTAGGAAGGCAACTCAGAGGAAGGACAAGAGAAGAAAAAAAATGTGTTACTCTGAGAACATGAAGACGGCTTGCGGACTCTGCGGCGTCGTCGTATCGGTCGACAAGGGCATCAAGCACAAGTGCTTCGAGGTGCTGAAGGCGAAGAAGAGCTTTGGTAACTGTGGGCGCAAGGACGGGCCGTATGAGACGAGGGTCATACAAGCTAGGTGCTGCAGAGCGTGCACAAGGACTGCTCACGGTAAGGAAGGAAATAGGCACGGTAAGTAAATTAAAATTAGAAAAAAAAAAAAAAAAAAAAAAAAAAAAAAAAAAAGGGAAGATAGCGAGAAAGGGGTTCTGTGAATTTACGTGACTTATGGTACCAAACTAATATTTTAAGTGCGAAGATGGATAATCAGACGTGTATTTAGCAGTTAGTAAGATTCCTTCACACCCACCATGAGCGACAGTCGTCTATGCACTATCTACATACGGAATCCTTATATAATCAGTAATTCCTTTCCTCTTATGAGAAGATTAGACAGTTGGTGTAGCCAGTGTGGCCGGCCCTTGTTCACCCGAGCTTTGTACATATAACTTGTGTAGCAGGACAGCGTTCGCTCCTTTCTTACGTTTTCTGGGTGGCTGATGATTTTGATTCATAGGTCAGAAGTTAACAGATCACGAACACCTTTTCCACAATTTAAGCTCATTGTTCCTTTGAAAAGTATAATTCCGATTCTGGTCCTGTTTGATAGTCCAACTAAGCCCCATCCTATCCATTGGCTTGGCATGTTCGCTATTATCTTGATACAGAACCAGCTGCAATAACCAGCGTGGCGTATGTGCATAAGTACACCGATGAATATCCCTTAATCCAATCCATTGAAGTACCGCTAACGCCTAAAGCAGCACTGCAATACAGTGTGGTTGCTGGCAATAGTAGTCCACTGTCATACCCCACCGAACAAATCGCCAGCCAACCCTCAAATGTTAAGGTATTCAAGACAACAAGGTAAGTAGAGGAAACGTCCCCGAAACCGCAAGATTCCCCATTTTGTGATCCTGATATGCTTGCTCCAAGAAACGCCTTCTCCTACTCCACTGGCCTTGAAGTGAAACCAAACACGTCCCCCCTAGTAGTTTAAGAGATATTATCATAGCGCGTTACCAAGTGTATAAAGATATAGTATAATCCTCTATCAGGTTGGATGTCGTCGAGTGTGTGGTGCTAGAGCTTCGGATGGAAGCGGTCGTGTCATATGTATATTATTCTAGGAAAGTTCTTAGGATGAGAATGAGCCAAATGGGGCCCGGGCCTTTTATTCTTGCTCCGTATCGCTTCCTTCATCTTCGGAACTTTCGAGAGGACCATACTTCGCCCTGTATCTTTCGAGCTCGGCCATTTGTGTGGCGACTTGGTTGAGTATAACTGCCATCGGTGCGCGCAGGTCTTCTAATTGCTTGATTTGACCACCACCCATGGCAGTGTGTCGCAAAGACAACGTCGAGACACAGGTCTGCGGTAGTCGGTTAGTAAATCATATGACAATGCGACAATCTTCAACTTACCTCGATGCGGCTCACTTGGTGCTCCATGAAGTTTAACAGGAAACGGTCCGTGACCTCACCACCACGCTGCTTCATACGCTCGAGCAGCTCGGTTTCAGGAGGCTGCAAGCCTCTCCCTGACATTTCCTCAAGAGTGCTGCAGAGCATCTCTAGGCGTAAACTAACCTTCCATAGAGACCAGATCATCTCCGGATCGAAACCAATCTCACTCCCAGGCCCAAGCCGCGCAGGCTGATCTGCCACGCCGGTCGTTGCAGCAGGAGCCATGTGGTATTCGATTCTACCAGCGAGGGCGTGCGGGTAAAGAGAATAGACGTACTCCGGATTCTCGAGTCCTTTGAGTTTCTTCTCGCCCATTTCCTTGACTTCAAACCCTTGAGAGGTGAGAGACTTTAATTCCTTACGGATAGAGAGCGCAGTTGCATCATCATCGAAGGCATCGTCGGAGCCCGTAGATCCATTTCGTTCGTTCTCTTGGTATGTTTCAAGGCATCGCTGGATCTCGGAGATAAAATCGGCAGACACTGCAATCTGACCACCATCGGCAACTGCAGAGATACGAGAGGCTTTGTTGACCATTGGCCCAAAGTAGTCCATGCGGCGCGTTACAGGATCAATCTCAGCCACTGGTTCGCCATAGTGAATACCCATTCTCACAGATAGGCCCTTGAAGATCAAGAGTTTGTCCTTATCATAAATTTCCTGACATGAGAGCGAATTGAGCACTTCGGAGGGCCAGTTGACCTCAAGAAGTTGCATCTGGACAGAAAAACACCAAAGTAAGGCGGATGTTGCAGTGGGGAAGGATACCATAAAAGCATCACCTTCTGTCTTTACCTCATACCCGCCAATTCGTCGAAGCTGTCGCCGCATGACCTCATTGTGAAGTTTGATCGACGACCTCATGGCATCAGGATACATCTCCCACAGATTAGTGGAATTTTTGATATCCGTAAAAACGATAGAAGGCTTATCAGTCGGTGCAGGAACTTCTGCCTCGAGTCTGTGTAGATCCGAGTCCTGAATTCCTCCCTTCATTTTCTTGCCTCTCTTGGCGGGGTATTGAAAGTCGTCCGGAACGCCCGACGGATACAGAGTCATGCTCTGCCCTCTATGCAGACGCGCTGATCGCTCTTGTCGTCGCTTGAGATCAGCAACGCTGATCATCATTACCATAATCTTGCTAGTCGAACCGTATGCCATAGCAAGATCTCGCAACTTCTGCGAGGCTCGCATAAGATCGCCTCGCTCGGACCGCGAGACATCAACAATTAGCCCAGGCGTAAGATATTCCCATAGCTCCTTGGTTGCAATTACAATAGTTTCATCTTGGGGAGTGATTGTAATGTGGTTGACATCAGGAGCTGCTTGTACGGCTGGCATTAAGTCGAGGTAGCCAAAAGCACGAGAGACCTCGAGAAGATCATTCAATTTTCCTTGACGAGATACCCAACCGCCAGCATCTCGAATCCGCTGGCGCTCTGTGGGCTCAGCAGGATCATGCTTCCGTGTTAAGATTTTATTGGTACCGTCTGACTGGATGAGCATTGCTTGGGCATCACCAACATTGGCAATGTAAAGCTCTTGAGCCTGGAGGTAAGCAATAGTGGCAACGCCTCCAGAATTGAGGTCTTCTTTACTCAAGACCACGGGCGTTCCAGATCCACGATGCGCGCCGAGTGGCCTTTTTTCTGTATGCTCAATAGCTATAGTGACCAAATCTTTATTGAGGGCGAGAAAAGCACGTCGCAGTGCATCAGCAGGTCCCTCATTCTGTCGCGTTTTGAGGGCTTTAAGCTCCGTTATGAATATAGCTCCGAAATTCTCGTGAAGATACTTGGCGATCTTAGAGCCACCACTAGAAAGCGCTTGACCATCAAACAAACCGAGCAGCGTTTCTGTGTCCGATGATCTGAATTTCGGGACGACAAGATCAATAGTGGATAAGTGTTCATTCCTGCCCATCGTATCCGCCATACCATATGGGAGATGTCCTGCCAGTGAGCCAGACGTCCTCACACGACGGTCTTCACTCTCTTCGGGTATACTGGGCTGAGTGAAAGTTACATCCATCAAGCCAAGAACGCGAAGGTTTTGTAAGCGACTAAAATCAGTGTACTGCTCGCGATTCTGCGCGGCCGTTCCGTGATTGTTCTGCTTAATCTCCAAACGTTTGTTACCTGACAAATTAAGGTAACGCAGATTGAGATTTAGATTCCAGTTCCAATCATACGGTACGTTGGATATATTGTATTTCAACGAATTGTTTCCACAATCAAGCACGGCTAGCTTCCTTGCCCTCGAAATGTCGGCCGGAAGGTTTGTAAATTTGTTGTTGTTAATGTGTAGCACTTGAAGTAAGCTGGATTCCTCTAGGTCATCAACAGGCAAACTAGTCAAATCGTTGCCAGAGAGGTATAGCTCAACAAGCTGAGGCCAGCTCCTGATGCATCGTTGGGGCATATCGCTAAGATCATTGTACGATAGATTCAGAACCCGCAGTTCGCTGAGGAGTGTAATTTGCTCAAATACATCATCATCGATTTGGTTGTCTGCCAGAATCAAATGTCGTAGAGAGCCAGCGAATGTATTGGTCAGGCGAGTAGAAAGACCGGAGTCTTTTCTTGATGCTGCAGTCGGTACCGCAGTGCCATTAGTACTGCTCGCTGTAGTGCTTCTAGAAACAACGGATGTTTTGCGCCCTCCTTTGCCGTAGACCGAAACC